GGTTAAGTAAGCTCATTTCTGGATTGTTATACTTTGCTTCTGATTACAGGGCTGATTCTTTTCTAGCACCAGTTTTATACCAGTATAATACATCTAACTTCAGTAGGGATTCCCCTGATTTTACATTAGAAGAAACAGGAAGAGAATCAAGCTGCAGGTTGTCTTTGTAATTAAATGAGATTACAATGTGCTCTATATTGCAATGGAGCCTTTGTCTTTGCTACGTGGGTTCAAATACACTGCATTGCACTATGCACAGTCAAATAGGTTAGCAGGGAAATCAGTACAATAGTAAACTGTTTGATCCTTAAAAGCCCTGACAGATTCAAAAGACTACCAGTTCAGACCTTTGTGATCAGAGAACAAAACCTTTAATGCCAGTATCTGATGGGTTGTTCTTTTGGGAGGGAGGGAATAAGATCATCAACATGATTAATAGTTACAAAAAATACCAACACTGCATGTTTTTCTAAAAAGTTATGCTTTAGTTCATGTAAGAATTAATTCAAAAGCATTCTGTGGGCTGTATTATACAGGCAGTCCAAGTAGGTGACCCACAGTGGCACCTTTTGGCTTCATAATCTTTAGGATATACTCAAGAAACTGGAATGGAATAATGTCAGAAGAATGTCAAGGAGCTACAGCTATTGTGATTTTAAAATATTACAAATATTAGGTTGCCTAGGTAGCAGGTATTATCCACGCCCAGGTCATACATCATAAGAATCTCCAAGAGTAATTCCTAAAGACAACACCTAAACACAACTGAGGAAGACACAACTTTTCTGTTCTGCAAGAACATTTAGAATTCTGCTGACAATACTCAAATGTTGAAGAACTGACACGACAGCCTAGCTGTTGACAATGTAACACACAAGAAAAGGCAGACATTGGCCCCATGTGGAACATTTCCTTAGTGGCTGAACAGACCATGATATGTCACTTTTTGAGAACAAGTTGTGGCTTTATACTAAGTCACTGAGATTCAGAGATAAAAATGGTCTCAGCAGTCAATGGTCTCAGGAACATGACCTGGGAAAGACAAGACTGAGCATTCCAGCCAGCATTTCATCTGCGAGGCTGCTCCAGACTCATCCCCAGTGCTCACTCTTGAGCCCTTGGACACCAGGAGATCAGAGGCAGCTGATGGGTGTCTGGTACAGTTTCATGGGCAAACTTCTGGCTCTAGAACATGTCAGTGGACTTGTATGGGTGGGGCATGCTTAATCCCATCTTCCCTGAAACCTAACATAGCGTAGACAAGCCCATTGTCATCTGTCAGGGAATTTCAGCTCTTCTTTCCTGACCTCATTCCTTGCTATATGTTGTATATATGGGTTCTGGGTATTGTTTTTGGTTATGCTTTTTGTGTTTAACTTAAAAAAGAAAAGAAGGAGAGGGATGATACAACAGTGATTACTTCATCAATATGAACTGATTACTGCCAAGGAATGGGATGTATGGGGCTCATGTAAAAAGCCAGTGAAACTGGCACAGCACATGTTAAATAGCACATGCATTTTCTGCATCCTGGTTACTAAGCTGCTGTCAATAAACAGAGCATAAAACTAACTACTGCATAAAACTCATTTTAATAACAGTAGCCTCTTGATGTCATAGACAGCGTGTAAGTGTTGACAGGGGGGGCACAACTCCACATCACTGCTGCCCCTGCTGCTGCCAGGAACTGGCTCTGGCCAGACTACAGCCCTGTGCCTCATCATCAGTGCAGAAATCTGGGAGGGCATGTGCCCCATGTCTCCCCAACATGTCCCCTATACTTTATGCAATACATTGCTAGGAGATACATTCCCAATAACTGTATTAATATACCAAGGTATAATTTAGGTCAACTTGATTATTTGTCTTTCTTGTTACAGTAATTAGGCTCTGAACTCTGAATAGTTAAATAGGGAAAGCCACTCCTTTGAACTGAGGAGACCCAAGGCTGCCAGCTCCCCTTTCTTTGCATTGTAGAGTCCCCATGCTGAGGCACCCTGCACCCCAACCAGCCGCTCCTTGCTTGGCTGGGGCACAGTGTGCTTCTAGACAGGGGAGCAGGCAGCCCAGGGCTGGCTGTTCCCTTTTCTCCATGTGCCTTCGCTGGAGAGCCCTCATGCTGAGGCACCCTGCGCCCCAGCCAGTCATTCCCCAGCTGGCTAGGGCACAGGGTGCCTCGAGACAGGGAGCAGGCAGTCCTGGGCTAGTTGCTCCCCTGTCTCTGTGTGCATCAGCAGAAAGGCTCTGCTGTGGAGCCCCTACACTGAAGTACATGGAGCCCCTGTCTCAAGGCACACCGCACCCCAGCCAGCCACAGAGCAGCTGGCTGGGGGACAGTATGCAGGCAGTCTGCCCCAACTAGGTCCCTTACAGCACATGGAGCAGTGGTACAATGTGTCCTGCTGCAGACTGCATGATCAGGGGCATGCACTGCAGCACAAAGTAGTGGCACAAATTTGTGCCACTACTATTTGTGCTGTTTCAAATGCATGCCCCTGCTTTTGTGGGCACGGCCTAGGATGGGATTCTTGGTGATGGAATCAGGGTTCATATACATGTGTGTGTGTGTGTGTGTGTGTGTGTACGCATGTGTTTTGTGTATACATACTGCTCAGAGTACAGTTTTAAAATGTCACAGGATTGGTGATAATTATGTAATTTAATAAATATGTGTATCTTTTGATGGGATGCACACACACGATCGCTACCTTGCTATTTTGCTTACACCTTGCAAGCAACATCCTATAACTTCCATTGTACTTAACTGCTTGGCTCATAAATAATGATAGAAATACTTGTGATAGCTAGCAGATCCAGAAAAAGTTGGGTAGTAAGGATTCTTTAACTTTAAAAGTCAGTTTATTCTCTGAATATACATAATATCTCCCCTTATGAGAACTTTCTTTGATAGTATTAATTATGCTGGCTTCCTGCTATTTGAATACATTCACTTTCTTTCACTTAAGAGGTTTAATCCTTTAAAATGTCAGATCGTCCTTTGAGTTCAGTCCATGTGATACATTCATGAACTGTAACTTAGCTGATACTGCAATAAATCTCTTCAGTGGACCACTGAACAGAGTTTGGTCTTCAGGTGTGCAAGGACAGGAGTGGAGATTTAGGGCCTGATCAAAGCCCCATGAAGCCAAAGGAAAGACTTCAATGGAATCTGGTTCTCTGTCATTTTATGCTTTCCCATAAATGAGCAAGTACTCACACAGTGTCCAAACCTATGCTCCTTTCAGTTTTCTGATTTCCAGAGAATCTCCTCTATGAAGTATTATTTTTCCAGTCTTTATTAAAAGGAAACTCAAAAGAAAAAACCTCATTTCATGCTTTCATGTCTGTGTTGGTGTGTCACACCTAGAATGTTGGTTCATCTTCCACTCTCCTCCTTCACAGCTCACCTTGTTCTAGGCTGATCTGAAACCTAAAATGTTTTGCTTTGGGTGGTGGTAGAGGATCAGAAAGTGCAATTTGAAAAGCGTTACAGTAAAACATTACACCCTGTGCAAGAAGGAATAAAAGCTACAGTGCTCAAGAGATAGAGAACCTTTCCCTTTGACTCGTGTTGTGTTGAACTTACTGCTTTAAACCATTCTCTGTGCAAGGCTGTAAGTTTCTGAATAGTTCCTGAAGTATACATCTAGGGAATGTAATCACATCATTTCTGGGCACTTTGTTAATTTACACACTAGGCGCAACTACACATGAACATTTACTGCTCAGTAACTGAAATTACTGCTCAGTAAGGGTGCTTGTCTACACCTCCATGCCCATTAATGCACTTTAATGCCTGCGCATGTAGACGCCAGCCTACTGCACAGTAAATTTAAGCCAGCATAAATGCTTGTGTAGACATGCCTACTCAGAATTATTACACAGCATTTGCTTTGATCTGATGATCAAGTCTTGCAATACATAATGGACCTCTTCAAAATGAGCAGATACCTATAACGCTTTTAACAGATCTGTTGTTAACACATTAAATATAAACGTGTTTACTGTTGTGTTCAGGTGGGAGTTTTTTGTTTCTTCAATTCAGTAATAGTTAAACAAACAAACAACCCCCCCGCATACACACACAGAAAACCCCCTAAGTAGTGGAAAGGAAAAGTCTTGATTGTCAATCACATTCTGGTTTTACATTTAAAGTTTTGATGAGGCAAGATATTTTTCACCTCAGTAATATACAGACCTTCAACTACAAACACTCATTACCAGGCATTGCTTTTCCTACCATCAGTCTCTGGAGGTAAATAGGACTCCAGCATTATATTCCCTGCAATGTCAATGCTAAGCAATTCAAATCATGAGTTTGGTCCCAAGAAAGCATGCGATTTTTAATTTTTTTTTAAATTTTAGAATGTATAATGAATTCTGGTGACTCTCTTAATTTGCTGCCTGCTTTCTGAGCCTTTAGAGTGCACTTGGGTAACATTTATTTACAGGCTTTTCTCTATAACCAGGTTGGCTAGAAACTCTTATTAACAATGTGAAACCTTCAATTCCTGCATAATCTCTTGCCTCAGGGGGTTGGAGCTTTAAAAAGATACTAAAGATCATGAGGTTCACACAGTAGCATATCCAGGGATGGGACAAGGGGAGTGTGTCCTGCTCCCCAGTTTGGCTGTGCCATGCATGCGGAGCACTTTTTGAGCTTGCTGCCTGCATTTCAGAATTTCACTCATCAGGCAAGGCATTTTCTTCCACCATCCAATAATACTGCAGTATTTTTGGTGTGTTGGGGGAGTGTCCCCGTTCTGCAGGGTGCAATTTTAACACTCTCAGACTGTACTGTATAGAATTGTCTGTTTTATAGCTTTTTCAGTGCTCTAGCTTGTTGCCGTTTTATGATGTATAGTAAAAATCAGAAAGACAAAGATAGTAAAATGAGCAAATTGCCTTGGCATTTGCGTGGGTTTTATTTTCAACTGCAAATGTCCAAAAATGCTTGGGTTCGTCTTCTTTTTTTTGATTGATTTTTAGTTCCTCTGCATATGAGTCATTTGTCATCGCTGCCTCCAAGACTGGATACTGTTGACATGCAGTCTCCAAGAATACCAGGTAGAAAACGAGGAAGACCCCCACTCCATTCTACTGCGATGAAAATGGCTGTTCACAATCTTTATTCAGCACCAGGTGGATCCTTACCCATAGTGAAGATCCCAAAGAAGAGAGGGAGGAAACCCGGGTACAAGGTACATATTCTCATGCCCCTGTCCCAGCACCTTTTTGCTGTTAATGATGTTTGATACTTTAAGATGCAGTATGATGGACATGAAGTCTGGAGCTAAAACAAGCATGTCAGAAGCTAGTGTAGAGCAATATAATGACAGAAACAAAGCTTAGTTTTCCTTAATATAATGTTTCTCCTAATATAATTGATCCAGCTGATCAAAAATGAGGGGGGAACTGCAAACATTTTGAAACTGTTTTTATTTTCAAGCATTTGACAACAACTTGTTTTCCCAAAACATTTTTGGAAATCTTTAACCTTCTACCCCAGATTTTTTTTGCTCAAAAGTGAAGAAAATGGGAACAAAAAGCAAGGAAAAGATGCAAGTTTTCACTGAAAAATCAGCAGATTTGGGGATTTTTTTTACCTTTAATTGTTGAAGAAAAGACCTTTATGATTTTTTTTTGTTTGAAAAATTATGAGCAGTTCTTAAAGCAAGGCATTAATGTAATGTGAGACATGGATTCTGAATAGTACAATAGAAGGGGAATAATCTGTGAATTTAGAGCTCAAGATGTTTCCAGGCAGAGACACCTGAAAACAAAGAGCCAATCTATTTGTAAGACCAGATCAACATAGGCATGACCAGTAGTAGCATCCCCATGCTACCATGACAATAAGCCTACTCCAACTGACCTGCAGAGTGAACTGTCTTAGGAGCCAGAGGAGAGTTTACTCTCCATGTTCTCAGACTTTCAGCTGAAATTACCAATTTTTCTGGTAATTTGTATCATGAGGCCATTTGCCCAGTAGGAATTGGCTTGAGACTAGAGACTTCATTTAAGCTATGCCAGGATAGGAGATCACTGACAGTGAACTGGAATCCTTTCCTTTATTGAGGACATCATTATCCTTAGCTCTTTCTGTAAGAGTAGTGGGCCAAATTCTTCTCTGACATGTGTGGGGCTGCATAGGTCATTGCAAAATGTAGTCCAGTATTATTTCTTGTGACTGGTAGCTAACCACACAAGCTGCACACTTCAGAAAAAAAATGAGTATAGTATCATGAGAGAGAGAGAATTTTTGTTAAAGAGGAAAACAAGATACCCTGTAGTTAGGTGTTTTTGTTGTCAGTAAATTGCTTGGTTGTTTTCTCAGTTTATTTTTGGAGCTAGGTACATGGATAATGCCTGTTTACTTTTTTATTACTTTTTTTATGAAGATGGCTACAGATGTGGAGTCTGTTTCTTGAAGAGTGCAAATTACCAAATATTAGAAAATACTAATAAATTGCCTAAAATACAGTGATGTTTAGCATGAGTAGGTAATGCCTACTTCAAACTTCCTTTAAAAAGCCCCTATACAAGGTAAAGCCAAAAGACTCATTCTTTTCCTTGGATCTGGGTCTTACTTAACAAAGAACAGCATAAAAACACCCCAAGCCACACACTGTATTCTCCACCTATGAGCTATTCCAGTGTCTTGCATCCAGATGGGATAACCAGCTGCTTAGCTCAAAGACCTCCTTAGTCCTTTCCCAGAACAACTACCACTTGATTACAATGAAAGGTGGCTTGGACAAATGCTGCCAGATTGCTACAGGTTGAACTAGCGCCCTTCTGCAATAGGCAACGCTTTGCCTTAAAAGATCATTGTCAAGTTTCTCTGGAGTTTTCTGAATGGTACAAGTCTACAGCTCATTTGAAGTGCCACCCTTGTTGTTTATTTTATTTAAATACCATGTGGAGACACTGTAGCCAGGGTGTAGCCCCATTGTGCCTGGGACTATGTGGAAATACATAGTAACGGATAGGCCCTCCTTCCAGAGAGCTCCAAGGCAATGCCCCATGTGCCTGACCTCACCCCTTCTCTCAACTTCAACAAGGATTGGATCAGATCCTAGTTCTGCAAGCTGCATGAGTAGATGTTTCAGCATCTTACTGAATCAGTACCAGACAGGAAGAAATACATCGGAATACATGGGGTTCACTGCTCCTGCATATATGCCTCACTTCCATCTGATCTTGTCATGACTGGACCTGAGGGACTGAGAAGCCACCATGGACCCTTGGCTCCTCCTCTTCAGGCCCACAGCGTTTGGCCATATGCTATGTCACCTGCTGCACGAGGCTGCCCCTCAGTGACAGGGCCTGGATTCCAAAAACCCAAGATCCTGTGGTTTTTGGATGTTGCTTGTGTTTAGCTCAACCCTTGCACCTCTGACCACTCCTATCACGCCTTCTTCTTCTTTGTGCCACCTTGTTATTCTCTCCCTGGGGCCAACTTGCTCCAGTCAAACCTTCCTATTTTACCCTAACCAATATCTTTCCCCTGCTTCCTCAGGCTTTCCATTATGAGATGTGAAAATTGTTTCCCATTCTCCCATCCCAAGCTTATTGTATCACTTTGTGTTATCTCCAGTGTCTGTATCGATTGACACTTTCACCGTTTACACTATTCTCTGCTTTCACCAGCCCTCCAGCACCTTCGTTCTCTTGTGCCAGTCACATAGTTATTCACCATGCTAGGTGCTTCAGACAAGTGAAAAACAATTCCATATTAACTAAGAAACAGCTCCCTAAACCATTTCCTAATCCCCATGAAAAGCTTTGCTCTTCACCTTTAAGCAACAGATTTTACATTAGTAACATCCTCATGAATAATGTAAATAAATGACCAACTCATCTTAAACACACTGACAGCTCTAATACTCAGATATGGTGACCTTTATGCAGTAGTCTGTAATAACAGACCAAAATATTGTAGCGACATGATTATAAAAGATAGTGCTTTGGGGTAATTATCTTAGACTTCACTAGTATTTTTTTCACCAAAACTAAGGAAAGGTTAGCCATTTTTTGACACATTGATTATTATTTTAGCAAATTGTTATTGGTTGATATGCATGCATGGCCAAAAGAGTGCATAATAAATATTACTGCATTATGTTATTACTCTAGAAATGTAACTTTCCATCTGTCTTACTCCAGCTATTCACTATTAGTAATTTTGCATCCTATGGTACATTTGTATAAAAAAAAAATCTCAAGATGTTTTTTGTAGACAGGGAAACCAAACCACAAAATGGCTAAACAATTTGCCCACCAGTTACAATGAGCTTGTGTGCAGAGTTGCCAACAGAGCCCTGCTCCTGCTGCTACTGCCAGACATGTTGACTGCCTCTTCTTATTACTAGAGGTTTTGCATTTCATCCTTAAAATTTTTCTGAAAGATTTGTTCTGTCATCCTCCTCTCTAAAACATACATATGTGCATGTGAAAACTGCAGTTTTACCAAGCACAAAAACATTTCCATCGAAGAGAAGGAAACAAGATCTGAAACAGTGGAATTCCTTAGTGAGCAGCCGGGGCCCTAAAATTAGGAAATAGAAAATGGAGCCAATCCAAACATTTAAAATGTGATTTTCATGGTCCCAACTCTTTTCTAGAAAATGTTGTGCCCAAAGAATCAAATAGGCTTTCACATCATCTGCTGGCACCCAACCGTCCAAGGTACTGAGCGTCCTCAGTCTGCAGAAGGCATTTTGTATAAGTGCTCATCACCCTTCAGGTTTGGGTAGTGATCCTTTCAGGGATGGATGCTCATTTGATGTAAATGATCAAATCCTGGGGAATTTACTGTGCTGGAGGATCTTCCCCTCAGTTCTGAGTGAGTTTCAATGAGAATTTCTCATCATTGCTGGAGTTCAGTCTGATTTAAAAAAAAAATCCCAAACCTCTCCCCTCTCCTGGGTCTTAGGGGCACCAGGTTCAGTGGCAGTGTCAGGAGAAGAAAGAAAAGTAATGAATTGAAGATCATTCATTATTTATGGGCTTTGCTTTAACATCACCATTTCTGGCATGCAGTGTGTATGAATGGCATCTTCAGGGGGATGCTGCTTTTTCTCAATGAGTGATGGCCAGAAATAAGATGTCCTTTAATAACTGATGGATTAAGCATCTGAAGTTTCCATTCATGGTCTGTAGCACTCAGTGCTTTTGGCCTCATACTATTTATTTGCATTGCAGGATTTGCACACCAAAGCAGTGTTTCTGTGAGGTGCCTTGCTGTATGGTGCGCTCTGCTGGAGTGTGGTACTCTCAGGGAAATTGTGCACTCTGGGTTCAAGTCAAAGATTACATTTCATGATGGGTAGTTCTGGCATGATTTAATTAGCTCTCAAATTGTATGACTTGCAGATACCATGAGACTTATATGCATTTTTAAAAGCGACTATCTGCCCAAATGGCAGACAACCAACTTCTTTATGGCAACCAGATAGCTGAATTATTACAGAACAGATGGGCAAATACTTCCTGAATTTTTAGCAAAATATGAATTGATAGTCCAGAGTTAAATTTAATTTGACTGAGATCTGAACAACAGGGACTTTTATCACATCATTGTATATAACCTAATGACCCACTGACTGGCTTCATTGATGTTAATACTGTCTGTCAGTATTTCTAAGGTGCCCCTTAACAAACCGTATCCCAGTCTGTTCCCTCATAGAGTAAAATCCTTTCATCTATGAGACTGCTGATTTTGCATTTTTGTTATGATTCCTTCAGATGCTTTTCTTCCCATTCTAAAGTGGCTTTTCTCTAATGAAATGATGACAGCTGTAAATTCATACCTTTGCTTAAATGTAGTTTTCATTCTGATTACCCAAATATCTACGATAGGTCATAGAGGCAATCCAGAAAGGGTTGACAGAAGGACCAATTACTTCTCCAGTAGCAAATAAGGGGCCAATTAATCAACAGCTGAAATAAAGGACTGCAGCCCAGCCATAAAAGGTGGCAAACAGAGAGGCTTGAGAAAGTGGCATAGCTGCAGATGGAAGAAGCTGCATGTGGAGACAGCTCCAGAGGGACACCTGTTTGTCTTACAGGGTGACACTGGCAAAGACACTTGTATACAAAGATAGGAGTCGATCAAGGATGCAACAAGGAACTGTAAAGATGAGACTATGGCTGCTTAACACAGACTTCCTGAGCTGGACTCAAGACGACAGGGTAA